CTTTAAACCTATGACTCAACGACCATCCATATTTTGTAAGATGCAACCCTTGTGCAGCCCCAAAATCGACGTCGGTCGGGGGGTTATCTGGTTCCATGAAGAAAATCATAATGACATAATGTCATTGAAGCAGTAGTAAACCATCCCCAAAATCAACATTGGATGGTATAAACTGGTATAATCCATCAACATACTGTGGATGGAAGAAATCCTGCACCAGCTGATAGTATCAGTTGAAAACGGTGGTTTATCCCAATATTTATAGGGTTTCAACCATCCTTTTGGTGGTGCAGGATTTCGCAACCATCAACATATGGTTGGTTTATTATTGACTAACATTAATAACCATATGAAATAACCCAGTTACACATGGATCTATGGGTTCTAAACCGCTTTACTTGGTGGGATACACAGATTTGTCATACGGTCATATCTGGATGAACGTCTTGTGAATAGAATTTTCCCAATTGGTTGTATCACTTGGGTTTGCAAAAAGAATAGGGAAGACTCCAAAACGAGAATCTGAATAAAGACGGTGATTTCCTAAATCATGTATTCTCCCCAGATTTTTAGATAAACCCAACTTGAAAATGTGTCCCAAGTTTGTTGATGATTTGATTTCCCATGTATTTTCATATCCTTTATGTGTTGCCCTCCAGTAATTGATCCAAGGGTGACCAAACATAGCAATTGGAAATCCCCCACCCAATATAGTTATTTCTTGATTCTCCCAGCTAGAAACCTCCGTAAAAAGCTCTAGGATGTTCCAGCCAGCCACGTTTGATAATCCCCAATATACTGGGTAGTATAACCGCATCTAATTTTCAACCAACAGGGGTTTTGAACACTGCTCAGATGTTTTACTTCTAAGAAAATCCTCATCTTTCTTCATTTACACCACCCAAGCATGACCCTTAAATGCGTCTCACCACCAAAAAAATGCCGTGCGACGCAATTCTCCAAGCGTTCTTCTGAACGCCCTGGGAAGCGAAGGTTTGGGATAATAAACATAGTTATAATCCAGTAAATTAACATAAACCCTGGCAAATAGAGGTTGCGGGATTAGTGAAACCACTCAAAATGGGTGATTTTCAGGGTCCAACTGCTAATTTACCAGGGAATATAATCCATTTGTAGATAGGATAAGCCACTTAAGACTTAGGGGGCTTACGATCACCAGGGTTATGAAAGCCAATTACGATTCGTGGGATGATCCCTCAAGCAAACAGCAAAATTCATTAAAGATTTTAGTAGTGGAAAACCCTTAGAAGGCTTTCACAAAGCAAAGCTTTATCATGGTTTATCCAAATCACCAAACCTTATCAGGAACACTTTTTTGGGTTGAAAACCATGGCTTTCCCCCGTGTTCCCTTTGTCTAAGTCTGGGACAAATACAATAAATGTCAAGCTCTAATATGTATATACTACATACGGTATATGATTTAATACATTAACAACAGTTTTGGTGGTTTGCAAAGATATTTGACTGTATTCTCATGGAAAGATCTTAAAGACGATTCAAATCAATTCAAATCACTATTATTAGAACTTTACGAGGCGACCACCTTCGATGACAATCGAAGTTAGAAATGCGCGAAGAGCCATAGTAGCGAGCTTTACAAGACTATATAATTAGATAATGTTAGATAATCAAGGCTTCAACTGCAACCCCCACATAGCTTATCTTACATACCATCCACTTTTAAAGTGGGATAGCAGCTAGCAATGAAACAATTTATATCAATTTATGGCACGAAACAAAATTCAAGTCAACCCGTTGCCCTCTGGTAAATAAACATAGACCCTGAAAATCACCAATTGTTCGAGGAAACTAATCTTCCAATTCCTATCTGCCAGGGTCTATGTTAATTTACTGGAGGGTACTATCAAACCATGGTCTACTCACATCAAAAAGTTGCCTTTGCCTTTAAAAAAAAATCAGGGTACATACCCCAGAATCCCCATGGTGTCATGGTGAACACATGTGAACACTGCTACTCTTTAAATTTGACAATAGCTTGGGGTATTCACCAGTATAGTCACTATGGCAATCCCAGTTCCCTTTTGATTGGTCAAATATTTTTTTTGATACTTCAATCTATTCAAATATCAATGATTCGCCTTTTTTGATGATTAAAAAATGAACTGGTGAGCCGGGGCCGGTCACTACTCAAAGACCTTGCTTCTAGAAAATCAAAAGCCTGGAATGTGCGAGTCAATCCGCACGAGGCGGTTGCCACCCAAGAGCAAAAGAAAACCAGGGGAAGAGGCCCTACAAGGTGGTGCCCCCCAGTTATAAGTTGGTTTATAAGCCCATTAACTAGTTCGATATATCACCAACAAAAACCATAGTGAAATTGGAGTTATGTTCACCAACTTAGCTATCGAACGGGGGCACCACCTTGTAGAGGCCACGTATCTGCTAGACTCTACCTTTACCATTCTGAAGGGTGAAATTGGGTGAAATTCCAATTTGGTTTTTCAAATTCAGTGAGGCCCCCATGAAATAAACGTGTTTATCTTCCAGCGGAGCCGCGGAACAACGAAAAACCACGCCTCTGAGTTTGATCTGCTGAGTCTCCTATGGAGGCCATGGCATGGAAATTTTGATGAATGATTGAATTATCCATTGAACATATTTGAAAATGATGAGTTTCCATAGTTATGTGATGTTATGTGAGTCATTACCAGAGGCTAATTCCCATTCATATCCCCATGTTTTCATGATATGTTCCATAGTTATGGCAACTCACAATTCTGTATGATAATGAGGGAGTATAGCAATATGACAGAAATGAATATTATGACAAATAGCAATGACAACCAGCTTGAAATGACTCAAACCCAGCAATATCGGAATGATCATCAAACAAATGCTTGACATGGAGCACCTGGCCAAATAAGCTGTATTGCCAGCAATAAAGCAGATTTTTTTAGTGACAAAACAGGCAAAACAATAGGACAGCCAAGTTGTTACCCTCTAGTAAACTATAAAACATCATCGCTACAGACAAAAAACATGCTTAGTAGGTGTTTACACCGAACTTTTTATGGGCCATCATTAACCATAGCAGCTAGGTGACATAAAAAAATCATAGGGTTGCCATTTAATCAGCAATGGTCTGGTGGTTCCGTCCACTGCCACGACTGCCAAGGTGCGACCCACCAACGAAAGGGGTATTTAAAAAAAGGTACCTAATGGGATATACAAACTGATCCAGCCATGTGAAACTTTGGGGAAATGATACCCTCTGGTAATTTAACATAGCTATTGAAAATTGCCATTTATAGTGAGTTTTCCCATCAAAAATTGTGATTTTCCATAGTTATGTTAAATTACCAGAGGGCACCACAATTGGAACATAATCAAACTTTAAGCGTGGTTGAGCCAGCCATGTCAAAAAACCTCGTTCAAGTCACGACTGGGCGCATCAGCGGATGGAAATCGATTTGGAAATCCATGGCTTCTATGCTCACGACTGGTGGCTCACCCCACTGGGTTAAAGTGGGTTATGACCAGAGTTATAAATGGGTGGGTTAGTACATTCATAAACGTGGCTACAAAGCACTTACTAGCTGGGCTGAACCAGCAAGCATGATGTACCCAGCCAGCAATTTGTAGGGATGCGTGATACAGGCAATGGTCAATGTATGGTTCCCAACTTCAGTTGACATCTTGACACATACACAGAGAGAGGAAAGTACTTCCAGTACACCCTCTGCTTATTTAACATAGCCTTGCTATGGTATAGATGGCCCATTTAGTTCGACGGCAAACACGACGCTCCGCTAATTTCATGGTTGAGTTTTCGGTTCGCATTCCAAAGTAAACAACCTAATATAGGCAATATAGGGTATATAATTATAACACAATTATAGAGGTTTCCTAAAATAGGGGTACCCCCAAATCATGCATTTTAGCAGAATTTTCCATTATAAACCATCCATTTTGGGGTGCCCCCATTCCAGGAAACCCCATATATTTGACATTGGCAACTTGGAATCCTACCCACCCAGCAACGCAACCGGCTCCTCCATCAGCATTCCAGGGATCTGATCCTGGCGATTTTCTAATTCACCCACCGAAACTATCCTGATCTATCCTGGGAAAGATCGATGTCCCATAAAATCGTCATCTTTAGAACAGTTCATAGAATCTAGAAGATTACCTTGCAACCTGCAAGGTATAAAAAGTCAGTCATTTTCATATTAATTATATACCCTAGAATCTAGAAGATTACCTTGCAACCTGCAAGGTATAAAAAGTCAGTCATTTTCATATTAATTATATACCCTACTTTACTAAACTTCTGGGAATTAGCATCTTGCCAGGGCTCAGTCGTTTTTCACTTGTTCAATCGATGTTTGGATGCTGTAGATATTGCTGTACTTGGATGTAATATCACTTGATCCATCAAAAATAGCCTGAAAAAACCATCTCTACTATACTGTATACTAGTTGGTTGATAAGTTGCATAATCCAATGAGTCATCATCATCCTCAATCAACCAGGGGATTTTCTTCATGGCCCCAGTCGTGTGCTTAGTTTCTAGTTGCCATCTGTGGCTTGTGCAACATGTTCTCGGAGAAGTGCGCGAGTCATCGATTTCGACATTTCGAGCTCTTAGTTGCTGCTGGCATCACTATAATAGGGCTGCTTAGATAGAACCCTTGGACCCTTGGCCGTTTTAACCATGTTTAGCCCACAATTTTAGCTGATTGAAGTATCTTTCATTGCTAAAATTGCTAGCTTTAACTAGGGTTAACCCTGACCCTGATTTTGCCGGTGAATTCCACAGGCTGAATCCTACGAATTCCCATAGTTTACGTGTGAAATCATAGTAAATCCCATAGTTTGTTACGTCATCCACCGTCATCCACCATCAAAATTTATATCTATTGCATATGAATTCCCCATTTTTGGATCCTGCCATTGAGTTTCTAAAAAATGGCAGTCACTTTTTTGTTAGCCCTAGAGGAAATGGCAGTGGGGATATAGCTTAAGCAGCTTTGGGTCCACTCATTTCTACATCCTGCCCGTCCACTCGTCCAAAAAATCCCACCTGTAATGCCTCCTGCTGGTGTCGCATGAAGTCATGGACCTTGCAGGGGAAAATCCGTGACTCACTGTGGATCCCCTGGGTTAACTGTGGATGATCACTGCCATGGTTGGTGAAATGAGTCTTTTGTCTGAATTTCACAGTGATGATAATCAATTGCTATTTTGTAATGGCAATATGTCAATGATGATAGTTGTTATAAAAATGTTTCTTGGTCTATCATGGTCTATCAGTTGTAATGATGATCATTTTTTACATTGCCAAAGTTTCTGAACGCTAAGTTGGTAAATATCACTCCATATAACTCCAATAAATGTGGGGTTTATGGTAGTTCATAGGGGAGCTGATAGGGGTGTAAGCCAACAAAAATGACTTAGGGGGCAGACCCTTGTAATTGTGTTATGATTTTGGTTGAGATATGTTGATATAAAATGTTTATGATGGTTAATGGAAATTACCATATCATTGATTCTAGATATTTCTGGAATTTGTCCAATGTATGTACGTATGTATCTATGTATGTATGTATGTATGTATGTATGTAGGTAGGTAGGTAGGTAGGTATGTAATGGTATGTAATGGTATGTAATGGTATGTAATGGTATGTAATGGTATGTAATGGTATGTAATGGTATGTAATGGTATGTAATGGTATGTAATGGTATGTACGCTATGTACGGTATGTACGGTATGAAGGCGTATGTAGGGTATGTAGGGTATGTAGAGTATGTAGGGTATGTAGGGTATGTAGGTATGTAGGTATGTAGGTAGGTAGGTAGGTAGGCACGTAGGCACGTAGGCACGTAGGCACGTAGGCACGAAGGTAGGCATGTAGGGATGTAGGCATGTAGGGATGTAGGGATGTAGGGATGTAGGGATGTAGGGATGTAGGTATGTAGGTGTGTAGGTGTGTAGGTGTGTATAGGGTGTAGGCGTGTAGGTATGTAGGTATGAAGGTATGTAGGTATGTAGGTATGTAGGTATGTACGGTATGTACGGTATGTACGGTATGTACGGTATGTACGGTATGTACGGTATGTACGGTATGTAGGGTATGTAGGGTATGTAGGGTATGTAGGGTATGTAGGGTATGTAGGGTATGTAGGTACATAGGTACGTAGGTACGTAGGTATGTAGGTATGTAGGTATGTAGGTATGTACGGTATGTAGGGTATGTAGGGTATGTACGGTATGTACGGTATGTACGGTATGTACCGTATGTACGGTATGTACGGTATGTAGGGTATGTAGGGTATGTAGGTATGTAGGTATGTAGGTATGTAGGTATGTAGGTATGTAGGTATGTAGGTATGTAGGTATGTAGGTATGTAGGTATGTAGGTATGTATGTAGGTATGTAGGTATGTAGGTATGTAGGGTATGTAGGTATGTAGGTATGTAGGTAGGTAGGTAGGTATGTAGGTATGTAGGTATGTAATGGTATGTAATGGTATGTAATGGTATGTAATGGTATGTAATGGTATGTAATGGTATGTAATGGTATGTAATGGTATGTAATGGTTTGTAATGGTATGTAATGGTATGTAGGTATGTAGGTATGTACGCTATGTACGGTATGTACGGTATGAAGGGGTATGAAGGGGTATGAAGGGGTATGAAGGGGTATGTAGGGTATGTAGGGTATGTAGGGTATGTAGGGTATGTAGGGTATGTAGGGTATGTAGGTATGTAGGTATGTAGGTATGTAGGTATGTAGGTAGGTAGGTAGGTAGGTAGGTAGGTGTGTATGTATGTATGTAGGTAGCCCCAAACTAGATAGACACGCTGTAAACCTGGAAATGTATAAACTGGAAACGACATCCAGACTACAAAACCGGTTCTATCTGCGTGGGATGTGTTCTATTTATAAATCCAGTAGTTTAAATGATAAATACTTCTATAGGACCGTTGATGGTCAAACTAACAATATTCTGACTAACAACTATGACATCTAGTTTAAAACCAACTAGGCTACTTGATTATCATTATGATAAACAGCTAGCAATTGTGCATGTTGACCAACTATTTCAACAGAGGCAGCCGTTGTGAATCGGTTTACAAATCGAAAATTCTTCGACATTACTTGGGTAAGTGCAGGTCCAGTTATAAGATGTTTTAATAGCGGATAATTATATACCTACAATTATAAGGATTAGACCCATGGAGTATGGAGGCAACAAAAAAAAAAACATGGTCAATGTTTTCCCATAAAAGGGGATGGTCATCCCCTCATTTTTGCCTAGCGATTTTCAGGAATCCATCAGAATTCAGAATCCCCATGGTTTTCAGGAAGCCAGTATTCATGATGTGGAAAAGGGACAAAACATCCATCCATCAGCATTTGAGCAGTGTTCAAAAACCTGGTTGGTTGATTAATTATAGAAGTGACAAAACACTAGCCAAAAAAAAATGGAAATTGTGTAATAATCCAAGAACGGGGTTCATCCCGTTCTTAACCAACCAGTATAATAACACTGATCATTTAATATATATATATATACTGGTTGCCATGTGTAATTATATAATTCAATTATTACCATATAATATATTATTAACATTAATTGGTTAACCATTTTATCCTTGGATATGCTTCATATCCAAGGATATTACCAATGGATAGGTTCATAACAATGGATAATCCACCATCAAAAATAATCCATATATAACATTACTTTTGGTTAGTATCCATTGTTATTCATATCCATAAGGATGACCACAACTTGGGATGGATGAGCATAACCCATAGCCGCCATGGGACCCGAACCACACCGATTCTTGGAACATGGCTGGAAATCCTAGGGAAACCATAGGAAAACCATAGGAAAACCATAGGAAATACCGGAAAATCGGCGTTTATAGCTGGAAAAATCATTGAACTAATGGAGGATTCAGAATGTTCCAGCCATGTTTGATGAGGTATGGAGAAGATGGGTACCTGTTCGTCCGTGTATCTTTTGGCAGCCCCCATCTTCTTCTCGTGCACAAGCTTGTTGTAGTCTCGTGACCTCCTCTTTGCTTCTTCACTTTCCGGATGGCACTGCCACAAGTGTTGAGACAGTGAGAACGAAGATGTCTTCATCTGTTTGTGGCACTCCGGGCACCACAAACGATCACCACCACTGGCAGAGGCCGGGGCAGAGTTTGCCCAATTGCCACTGCCAGTGCCACCTTCCCGAGATCGAGATTTCTCGGGGTTGCGGTGGCCACCATGTCGTCCTTGCCGGCTGCGGCTTCTCAACCACAAAGGAGATGATTTGTTTTCCCTGCGGCGGTGCTCATCTTCATCTTGGCTTTTGTCTTCTTTCTTGTCGGCAGCTTCACGATCATGGTGACCTCTGTCTCCTCGTGTGTCACGCCGATCACGGCTACGACGATCTCGGTCAAGGGCAATCAATGGAGATATTGACTCGTACTGGTAGAACGGGAACGTTAATGAAGTATTGAACTAAGTATTGGCCAGTAAAAAAGACATCTAAACATATTTAAACCAATAAACCCTTGCAACTCATGAAGATATTAGGAGAATGGGGATATGCATTCACCAATGAAAGTAAGAGAATACACCCCTTGTAAAAGTCTGGAATAGGTCAAGCTTCCCATCTGCTCTAAATGGAAAGCTGTTCTGTAAGAAAATGGTGATGTGAACCTACAGGATGGCCTAAGAAAAGTGGCTTGACTATGGTTTATGATAGATATAACTATAGTTGATGGGGTTTACACACCAACGTTCACATCACTGGGGGGGCACCATCCTGTACCAAAAGACAACTTACTTAGGAAAATCAACCCTTTGGGTCGAGGGATTCGAAAAAAGCGTTACCAATTTTCATGAGGTAACCAAACAATAAACTCTTAATTGGTGATGGTTGATACAATATATGTCTGATAAACTTGGATATGATTTATGGTTCTTTATGTTTTGGTCTACCGCATCACCAAACGGATGGTTTTTCAACCCCGACCAGGGTTACAAATCCTGGGTCAACATCATAAACACAAAAACCGGCGCAACTTGAAGTGGGCTTTGGATTAAAGGAAAGTCTATGGGAAACAGTGGTGTTTTAGCAGTACGTGTATATATATATATATATGTATATATGTATATGTATATATGTATATGTATATATGTATGTATGTATGTATATATGTATATATGTATATATGTATATATGTATATATGTATATATGTATATGTATATATATATATATATGTATACATATTATAACGAAATAAGGGTTTCCTGTCATTAGATTTTCTCCAGCGACATGTTGAGTCTCCGCGGGCGCTAAATACATCCCTGCCAGGCACCTTATGCAATTCGGAACTCAGAGCATTGCAAAAATCCTGGCAACATGTCGCGACGAAATGGTGTTGAAAAACCGGTTTAAGCATTCCAAAAATTTGATCCTTCAAAATGGTGAACCATAGGTTCAACCATTCAGAAATTTAACCATTCAAACTGGTGACCCATAATGATAATCATAATGGTTTTTCACTGGCAAAAATGGGGATTTTCCCGGTTTTCCCCGTAGACATATAGACATTGCCAAGTGTCTTTAAAGGGCGGGTGGATAGCCATTGAATCTCCATGTCCAATGGACTTTTGGGATCAGGGACACCATGGAATGCCGATCATGGCAAAAAAGCTATAATTACTAAGGTTTCTTGGTTTTTAATATTGAATTATTGAATTGACTACTTCAATATATCATAATATCTACAGATTATCTACTATAAACCCAACATAACCCAAGAATTGTTGCAGCCCAACTCAGCCATTCCAAGCTGGGGCCCTGGGGCCCTGGGGCCCGAGCCACTGACCTCCCCTTCGATCATCACCTGGGGCCCTCACCTCTCCCTCGCCATTTTTCATCACCTTCTTCAGCGCCTTGTAATCTAAATACCTTGGGGCACTGGGGGCCAAAGGGGGCCTAAGGAGGCCTAAGGGGGCAGAAATCATGGGTGTTTTTCACCAGGAATGCCTAGCAATCATTGAGCACATCATTTGCAGTGATGGGATGAAAATGGATGATTCCAACTGAAGATGATTTGGAAAGGGGGGTTCATTGATAGAATAGGCCTTAGAGGGATCTTATTACGGTAAGATTCACTGAAACCACAGCCGTCCGAAATGAGTTCATTAAAGATTCATGATCAAATCTGAAACATGATTCATTGCGCGATGAAATGATGAAATGGATTGAAATGGATGATTTCCCCCACAGGAAAGCCATCACAGGTGTCCCAATCTTCTTTAAACGACCAGTGGAATGAGGACAGAGAATCTTCGGGTTAGGATGGAACGCCCCACTTCCCTTATCAAAGTATCCTGAAAAATATACCCTTTTCAATGCCATCCATGCCAAGGCTGCCAAGCGACTGACCATTCCATCCCTGTTCCAGTTCTTCTTGCAGTTTCTTTGCAAACTTCATGGCGTGAAAAATCTACGGATCCTCTCTTGAGCCAAGATTTTCACCATGGCCGAAGACCACATCTTGGACTTGGTTCATCCCGGAACTGCCATGATCGCCATGGAGTCCCGGAGACATCTGGTTTCATGACGATCCTGCGGATGTGTTGATTCTACATGATTCATCCGGTTTCAAGGGACTTGGAAGCAAAGACCCTACTTGGAAGTGCTGGTATTGCTGGTCAGGAATCTCGGAATCTCCTATCTTTGATTTGGGAACGACCTGATGTAATCCGTTCACCCGTCACATTTTTTACAACCCTCAAACGAAGTGGGAACTTCAACGTATTTCATCTGATCAGGGGTAAGGGATTAGCATTAGTAACATAATTTACTATGAAAGGGGGTTGCGCTATCCTTTGACTGACAGACCTTTGTAACATGCTCTTTGCCAAACTTGCCATTTTTTGGGGGGGGGCAAAGCCAAACTCCATTTGTTATTGGTCAAACCCCAACCTCTGCTGGTTGAACCACCGCTTTTGATTTTGTTAAAAAAAACTTTTGATGGTCAAGACACCAATTTTGATGCTTAAAACATGTTAAAACTTAAGTTACACTAGTTTTGATGGCTAAACCAACCATTTTTCCATGGTGAAAAAACGTGCGTTGTTGTTTAACATAGCCCAACACTTGTCCCAGACCTTCGAATTTCCGGGGATGAACCCCCAGACCTTTACCACTTGAGCTGATTACCTTGGGTGCCTCCCCGTCAAAAACCTTGGTTTTAAACCACCACATGGTCAATCTGTGGTAGCCCCCAAAAAAAATCATCGTTTGCTGTTTATGGTCATTGTGATAAATTTCTAGTAAACAACAAACGGATTTTTTACTACCTATCCGAGGTTGGGGATGAGTTATACCTTGGTTTTTAACCACCATTAACAAAAGTTCTAAATTTAAAAAAAAGTTGTTATTGGAATAAAACCAAACATGGAGGTAAACCAACCACAATATGGTAATATCATGGGGATATAATGAAAAATATCTAGACAGCTATGATTACGGGCTTGTCAATGAGGTAAACCACCCTACATGTCCATGGAAATGTTGGCAAATTTGAGGTATTTTCAGACAAACCCTTCTGGTTTCATTAATGGTTCCAAATTGCTGGTTACCTATATTTAAACTACGTATAATTATGAAACATAATCTTCCGAATTCAAGCATCGATACAGGATCTATAATTATGATACATCGATATGGCTATCTACAATTCAATACTCATCTACAAGAAGATCATCTGAAACTAAAACATGGCAAATGTTGGCCAGAAAAACTGAAATATGCTGGTTTCCCAAGTCGTGGGGGTACCCCAAGCTCGCTGGATGATTGATTTCATGGAAAATCCATCAATGGATGATGACTTGGGGTACCCCTATGACTTTGGAAACCACAAAATAGACATTCACCCCCACAAAAGATGCCCCATTAGCTGGTCTTGTTCCACGAAAATTAGGTTCGGATTTGACCAACTTCTATCACTTGGGTGTTGCCACCCCCAAAAAAATGATAAGTTCTGTGATGCAGGTCCTAGTCAAAAAATCACCGTGATCCATGATGTTCAAAATAAAATCAAACCATGCTAAATTCTGAACAAGGCTAAATAGTAATGTACAATCATGTTCATGCATATAAGAATAAAACTATATATGTTGAATCAAGACAGTTCCAAATCGATTCATGTTTATATTATTACAATTACAATGTTTATACAACATTTTTTAACACCTACTTGTGTTTAAAGATGATTCGATTCATGTTTCTCCCCACCATCTCGCCCATCTTCTCAGTTTTCCCGAAAGTCAACTCCCTGCCTGAAAGCCGCGCAGGGAGGTGCAAGAGGTCCTGAATGTCAGGAAAAATGTCTGGATTTAACGAGGGACAAATGGGAATGGGATATACGTACATATATATATATATATACGTAGTATATACAGTATATATTGGGGATATTCTGTCTGAAAATGGACTACTCCCCCATGTTTGGCCGATGTCATCAAAGTTAATTTGGAAAATGAATGAACATTATGATTTTGACCAATGGACGGAATGGGGTACTCTAAGAATCTGTTTTCAGACGAAGCCATTTACCCATTGGGTAATCCCAACCTAAAACCCGAAGTGTCCAGCATTTTCCCCACATGTCCAAAAGATCATATGCAACATCCAGGGGTCAATTCCAAGACGTGGCAAGTTCGGCAGGTTCATTTGATTTCATTCCTAATGCGCCATCCTGTCCACCCCTGGATAAATCAACCCATATCAACCCCTAGGCTGTTTAATTGGAGGGTTATCCGCTTATCCAGGGTTGACACTAGTTGATCGAAAAATTTGCCAGGAACGTCGTTCCCCTTCTATTGTTGTTTAATGTCCTTCACTGGAACCTCTCTAAAATGGGGGCTTCCTAAAATATCTAAAATGGGGCTACCCCAAGTCACCATAGCTTTCAATACTAAAATGGTCTAATCACGTGGATGATGACTGGGGGAACCCCTATGACTTAGGAAACCCCCGTTAATGATTCGTTTGGATCGTGGTATTTCCAGTTGGATCGAGTGACATCCGGAAAAGTGTTGTCTCCACTTGGGCCAGTGGTGAATGATTTTCCACTGGCCAAACCATCCCCAATTTACTGTTGGGGTTGCTGGAACAAACCATTGCCCCACCAAAACGGGGTGTTTGACTTGGGTTCCCCACCACTATGGGCTTGTCAATGATCAAAGTCCAAACGATGTGGTTTATCAGCCATTCTCTCAATGAAGAATTGCCATATAGAGGTTTCCTACAAGGTGGTGCCCCCCAGTTATAAGTTGGTTTATAAGCCCATCAACTATAGATATAGCACCTATAAACCATAGTTATTGGAATTATAAACCAACTTAGCTATCTTGGGGGCACCACCTTGTAAGTCATAGGGGTACCCCCAAATCATCCATGTTCATAGGAGTTTCCATTATCAACCAACCATTTTGGGGTACCATCATTGATGGAAACCACCATATTATCTGGTATGCACCATTTTTGGACACAATTTCCAGCAACAGTTCATCGCATATGTTCATTTATATTCCTCATTTTTGATGGTTGAACCACCAATGTTTGAGAATCACCACAGGTGATGATAAAACCGTGTATCACGGAATTGTTGTTGGCATTACCCTCTTACCCTCCAGTAAATTAACATAGACCGTGCCATGAGTCGGGGTTGGAAGATTAGTGACACCACAAAAAAAATGGTGGATTTTCAGGGTCGTGTACAGCTATCACGACCTCGCGGACGTCGCGAAGTGAGGTAGTATAACACCCCATGTCCATTGATAAACATCTGCGCTTTCATTCAATCAATTCGATTTGATACGAAAACCTCATTTTTCATTTAAGTTAAATCCTTATGTTCAGAATAAGAACAAAAATAATATACCATCTTAATCATATATCAACTCACATTTTTCAAATCACCTAAAACCTACAGAATGTTGTATGGCCATATCAATCATAATCCATCATATCATTGAAGGCATATCAATCAGAATCAATGTTTTATGGTTTCAATCCCTCTTTTTCTGATTGATCTGAAAAAAATGATAGTTTTATATGGTTTCAATATCTTTCAATGCCTCTTTTTCTGATTCAGTATCAATCTGAAATCATGATATCATATGCTTTCACAATCAAGCTCTGAATTTCCATAGCTTTTCCGCAGCGAAGCGCCTTGATGGGGCTCGCTTGCTGCACTGCCATGCGCATCTGCTCACGATAGACCTGGCGTTTGGGGCGGTGGTGATTTCACCAACATGCTGATTTCATGGGATTTACCCGGCCTGGTAAACCTACAAAAAACGAACTGGAAAGATCCACCATGTTTTTAATGGGTAAATCAACTATTTCGACTCGGCCATGTTCAATAGCAAACTGTTAAATTACAAGAGGGTAACTTATACTGTGGCGGACCGGCACTTAGAATTTAAAAAAAAAACTAAAGTTTTAGAATATGGATTTATGTTAATTTTTAACATACTTGAGCCCGGGGTGAAAAGCACTAAGAATATTCAAATCGAGGGGGTACACATAGAATATTTTTGTAGTATGCTGTCTTAAGGAAAAACTAGCTACATCCGACCATATATCCCAGTAATTCCCAATAAAAATCATTACCTCCAAGCCTCCTCTCGCTCTCTCTCTCTCTCTCTATCCCCGTTCCTGTTTTTTTTTGGGTTTCCCCATCAATCTATGGTACTCTACCGTGCTACCGCATGAGTACCTCAATGTATGGGTTCGCAAATCTCAATGGAAAACGAACAAAACCCAATACATCAACACAACAAGAACATGGTTTACAATAACAAACTCAACAGTAAACTTGTTGGTTCGGTACCTTCTTTGATGGACTATCAGTGACTATGTAGTTGTGGCCATATTCTAAGTGCATTTACTGCCCATAAGCGCACAGTTATACGGGCAAAAGCAGCACGTGCAAAACCGGTTGGTGCTGTACCATGCGTGTTTTGCTGCAGTACCAAAAACAACTGTAAACCATGAGGTACCGTACTGAGATTTATCGGCGATCATGAACTCAACAGTTGCATTTTGTTTATGTTTTGTTGGTATTGTACACGGCTTGTCTTGCAGTAACAAACTCAACTATATATAAACTGTTCAGTTCTGTATCTTGCTTGATGGACAAAGTGACTCTGGCAGTTGTGTGCATATTCTAAGTGCATTTACTGCGCAGAAACGCACACTTTTACACGAAAACAACTGCCAAACGGTTGGTACTCTACCGTGCGTGTTTTGCACTACCAGATGCAAGAACTGTAAGCCATGCGGTGCTCTGCTGAAATTGTTGTGCAAACATGAACTCAACTGTTTCATGATTTGGTACTGTACAGTGCTTGTTTTGCAACAAAGAACTCAACTATAAACTGTCCGGTTCTGTATCTTATTTGATGGAATACGCGACTCTGGCAGTTGTGGCCATATTCTAACTGCATTCACTGTCCAGAAATGCACAGTTTTACACAAGCAAAAATAACAAATGCCAACCGGTTGGTACTGTACCATGCATGTGTTGCAGCACCAAATGCAACAACAGTAAACCATGTGGTGATGTACTGAGATTGTTTGCGATCATGACTCAACATTTGTACACTTTGTAGTACTGTATCTTGCTTGTTTTGCAGTAACAAATTCAACTGTAAACTGTTCGGTTGTGTACCTTTCTTGATGGACTATCAGTGACAATGTGGTTGTGACCATATTCTCAGTGCATTCACTGCCCATAAATGCACAATTTTACATCAACAAAAACAACAACTGCCAACCAGCTATTACTGTACCATGAGTGTGTTTCGCAGAACTGCAAGCCGATGTGGTGATGTACTGAGATTGTTTTGATACAGCTGCATTTGTTTTGCAATTTACCTTTGTTATGAAGGAAGTAACGAACCCAGCTGTATGTTTCTGTTCTTTGTCTTGATTGATTTTCAAAGTGACCATGTTAGTTGTGATCATATTCTAAGTGCATTTGCTGCCCATAAATTAAGTGCACAGTTATACAGGCAAACGGCAGACGCAACAACTGCAAACGGGTTGGGAATGTACCATGCGGCGACCATACGTGTTTTGCAGTGCCAGATGCAAGAAATGTAAACCATGCGGCGTTGTACTGAGGTAGTTTTGCAATTATTAACTCAGCAGTTGCAATTTGTTGGGAACTGTACCTTGCTTGCTTTGCAGTAACAAATTCAACTGTAAACTGCTTGGTTATGCACCTTCCTTGATGGACCAAGCGACTCTGGCAACTCTGACAATATTCTAAGTGCATTCGCTGCCCATAAATGCACAGCTTTACACAAGCAAAAACACAACTGCCAACCAGCTGGTACTGTACCATGAGTGTGTTTTGCAGAACGAAATGCAGCAACTGCAAGTCTACGTGGTACTGTACTGAAATTGTTTTGCAATCATGAACTCAGCAGTTGCAAACTTTTTGGCACTGTACCTTGATTGTTTTGTGCATTCACTACCCATACATGGACAGGTTTACACAAGCAAAAACAACAACTGCCAACCAGCTGGTACTGTACCATGCGTGTTTTGCAGTATCAGGTGCAAGAACTGTAAAGCATATGGTGCTCGGATGAAATTGTGTTGCAATTATGAACTCAACAGCTGCAAACTGTTTGACACTGTACCTTGCTTGCTTCGCAGTAAGGAACTCAACTGCAAACTGTTCGGTTATGTGCCTTCCTTGACCTTGACCATATTCTAAGTGCATTCACTGCCTATAAATGCACAATTTTACACAAACAAAAACAACAACTGCCAACCAGCTGGTACTGTACCAAGAGGGTTTTTGCAGAACGAATTGCAACAACTGCAAGCTGATGTGGTGATGTACTGAGATTGTTTTGAGACAGCTGCATTTGTTTTGCAATTTACCTTTGTTTTGAAGGAATTAACGAACCCAACCCAACTGTATGTTTCTGTTCTTTGTCTTGATTGATTTTCAAAGTGACTATGTTAGTTGTGATCATATTTTAAGTGCATTTGCTGCCCATAAATTAAATGCACAGTTATACAGGCAAACGGCAGACGCAACAACTGCAAACGGGTTGGGAATGTACCATGCGGCGACCATACGTGTTTTGCAGTGCCAGATGCAAGGAAATGTAAACCATGCGGCGTTGTACTGAGGTAGTTTTGCAATTATTAACTCAGCAGTTGCAATTTGTTGGGAACTGGACCTTGCTTGCTTTGCAGTAACAAATTCAACTGTAAACTGTTTGGTTCTGCACCTTCCTTGATGGACCAAGCGACTCTGGCAACTCTGACAATATTCTAAGTGCATTCGCTGCCCATAAATGCACAGCTTTATACAAGCAAAAACACAACTGCCAACCAGCTGGTACTGTACCATGAGTGTGTTTTGCAGAACGAAATGCAGCAACTGCAAGTCTACGTGGTACTGTACTGAAATTGTTTTGCAATCATGAACTCAGCAGTTGCAAACTTTTTGGCACTGTACCTTGATTGTTTTGTGCATTCACTACCCATACATGGACAGGTTTACACAAGCAAAAACAACAACTGCCAACCAGCTGGTACTGTACCATGCGTGTTTTGCAGTACCAGGTGCAAGAACTGTAAAGCATATGGTGCTCGGATGACATTGTGTTGCAATTAGGAACTCAACAGCTGCAAACTGTTTGACACTGTACCTTGCTTGCTTCGCAGTAAGGAACTCAACTGCAAACTGTTCGGTTATGTGCCTTCCTTGACCTTGACCATATTCTAAGTGCATTCACTGCCTATAAATGCACAATTTTACACAAACAAAAACAACAACTGCCAACCAGCTGGTATGTACCATGAGTGTGTTTTGCAGAACGAATTGCAACAACTGCAAGCCGATGTGGTGATGTACTGAGATTGTTTTGAGACAGCTGCATTTGCTTTGCAATTTACCTTTGTTTTGAAGGAATTAACGAACCCAACCCAACTGTATGTTTCTTTTCTTTGCCTTGCTTGATGTACAAAGTGACTAATTACGTACGAACCCAATGTGGTTGTTTTAGACACAAATTCAACAGTTGTGTCCAAAACGATTGTGGGTTTTGAGACGCCTCGAAAACGGCTGTGACACACACGATTTTTATGGTTTTCTCTTAATATCAAACTATACATAAACATCCAAAATATTCTAAGTGTGTGGGGCCTTTTTATTTTTAAAATTCTATGTGTGAATTAACGCAACTCAACAACATATGAAAACAGATATATCCTGGACTCACGTTAAACACGGAAGTTTGATTTTCCCATATTCTAACTGCTGGTCCTCCACTGTAATCAGATGGTTTTATCCTAGATTTTTTTTTCAAAATCTGGTTTTATCGCGGGGAGATTCACCAATTCACCAACCTATTGCATGGTGATTTAAATCGCTAAGTTGGTGAACACAAGTCCAATAACTAGGGTTGATTAGGGAGATATATAGGGATATATACCTACAAGGTGGTGCCTCCCCAGTTGTAAATGGGTTATAAGCCCATTAACTATAGATAAATCACCTATAAACCATAGTTATTGGACTTATAAACCAACTTAGCTAACTATGGGGCACCATCCTGTATAGTTAAAGGGGGTATAAACCAATGACCATAACCGGCCGGCACCACCCCGCATGAGTCCAACATGGAGTACCAATGGCAATCTAAATTATATAATTATATACATATCATTACTTTAGTATCAATTCATCCATGTCGTGAATAGGGAAAATTGATGAAATATATTGAAGACAGGGAAAACACATTATTGAAATCATCCATACTATATTGAAATCATCAGCTGGTCTGGCTGAATTCTAATCATATACTCGCCTGGTAGCTGAAATAAAGCTATCACCGTTGACGGAAAACAGTGTGATCATCATAATTTCATTCATAATATTAGCAACATTAATGCTTTAAAAAAATGTCAATAGTATTCAATAAATTCAATAGTACAATAGAACAGTAATAACAAACAAAACAATACTGTGATGATATTAATATATGGGTATGGGTCAAAATTAGGTACCCCAATAATTGGATGGTTAATACTAAACTAGACTAACATCTGTGGTCCCCTAGGTCTTCCATTTTGACCCACATCCATATATTGATAAGATATTACACTGGGGGGATGAACTTGTTCTATTTTGATCTGAAGGCTTCCTCCAAGGCTTCACCGAAACAACTGTTCTGCGCCGGCAGCGCCGGCAGCCCGAGGCCACTATACTTGGTGCCTTTAAAACATATATAAAAGCTCTTTAGCTTAGTCGCATGCAACGAACGACCGTCGCATGCAACGAACGACCTTGCAACAAACGACCTTCCTGGACAATCCCCGCCTCACAGATCAGTTTCATGAAGCTTCATAGAAACAAACCACTTATTTGATGTCCAACGATTGACTATTGTGTCCAACGATCTCTTCAGAAATCTTTTCCATATTTTGTTTCACAGACTATGGTTGGAGAAGGGAAGTCCACAAAATTTCAAACAATTGCATTGCCACAACTTCGTGCGGCCACAAAATCCACGGCTGATCTTAGATCGCTCCGGAAGACGACTCCACGGGCTCCACGTCATAGTAGTGGTGCTCCAAGGTGTCGTAGGTGTATTCCTCGGAGAGACATGCAACGGTTACGATCAATCGTTTCATACGTTGTATATGAACCATAAGATGAACGTTTGTGTGTATAGTGTAAATATCCAATGGTTTCATAGTATATCTATATAATTCTATATATATATATGTCCAATGTGTAGGATGAATAATAATATGAATAATGTGTGTGTAGTGTCATAGCACGGCAATCGTAGTTGTAGAGGGATACGATGACCCATAAGACATCATAAAATCAATTGAAATCATGTATGGCAAAAAACAATGGCCCATGACAGGCTAACAGAAAGCTTCACCCAGACTCGTGGTTCAATACATTTAGAACGATTCTTCAATGCATCATGCGAAATCTTAGATTGATTTGTTTGTTGGTCTGTACACATCCTCGAAGAAATGGTCGCAAATGAAGTTGTATTATTAATATGTTGTGTTAAACATTTTAGGGGGGGTCCTAAAATGGGGGTAGCCCTCAATGATCCACTTTTTTGAGGATTTTCCATTACAAACCATCCAGCTATTGGAGTACCCCCCATTTGTGGAACCCCCCATATCCAGTCGCTTTCGAAAAAGGTTACGTCATATATGGTCCCTGTGGTCCCCAAAGATATGGACAATGGCCATGCAACAGGAACCGATACCTACCATATAATATAAGGCCTATTTTTCAGGGCTAAATTTCAGGGAATATCACCAGAAAATATCGCCAGAAATATGGTACTAACGTGCCTCCATTCTAGGGTCCTGAAAATCCCACTAGATTGGCAAGCAGTGGCTTGCCAGATTGGCTATATTTCGCTTAATGCCAAGCTGGGATCTAGATCTTTGGTTTCTATTCATGTTGAATACTCCCATCAGGTACAATACAAGATATTCCCAAACATGGATCCTGGATCCATGTATCCACAGTCGCCAAGTTGGGTCATGATCTGGATCGTCCACTTCATGATGAGTCGTATGTACAATGTACAATATACTACGTATTTTTTAGGCTGGTAGATCTGGTAGTATTAGCCAATAGATTATGGACATCACTATGAAAAACCCGGCTGCATTCATCGGAAAAACTATTGATTCATCATCCCTCTAAAAACACCTGCTCCAATAACCAACTCACACAACTGCGTTCAGTTTTGCGATCCATCAACAATAGGTGGTCAATCGGGCTGCTCATGGCGACGACCAAACATTTGATAAACACAGCCTCCGTGAATTCACACTTAATTAGAGGATCCTCCCAGTTTTTTTCATCTAACCCTGGTGATCGGCTTCGTCCCCAATACCAAACGGCTTGTCCCATTTAGAAGTGGCTAACCTAAGCCCAAAAACCACCGATATTTCTCCACTTCGATGATCCTCACCGAGGAGCAGCCCGCTCGGGGGACGTCCAGTAGAGAATCTCTTTGTGAGTATAGCCCCTTTTACCTCCATCCTCGGCACACCGGCTCAAAGTTACAGTATAAGCTGAAAGCATTCGCTTTTTTGTTTCCGAAACCTCCCCAAAAAAAACCAGTTTGATTTCCTGTTGATCCGATTCCCGAAGTATACTAAGTATATTTCGAAGTAGTGGATTTCCGGACAAAAACATTCAGCAAATCATTCAGAAAATCAGATTTACTAAGGCCAACATGTTGCTGTTCACTCGGACTAACAGCCAGGGTTAATGGCAATTCAGCCAGTCCAGTCTTGGATTGAAAAAACTTCACTGATCGAAAAAAAAAATAGCATCGCATATTTGTGCATATTGTTGATGCATACCCAGGTTGTCAATTCAATATTAAACCATAGTTCTATCTTACCAAAGTGTGTTTTTTCTCTTGTTGCTAAATTATTTTACCAAACATCGCGAAACATCAACAATTCAGATGATCCTTCGCCAAACATCGTCTCGACAAACTGGTGTTTTCGGTAAGGCCGCCCATCGATAAGAAAAGCCATGACTTTCGCCATGGAAAAATACCGGGTCTCCAGTCATAAGAAGAAAATCTCGGACCGAGGGATGGGATGCCACAGCAACGTCAAAATTTTCATATGACCCTCTGGTAATGACTAACATAGCTATTGAAAATGGTGATTTAGTTGGTAATGACTAACAGTTTGCTATTGAAAATATGGTGATTTTGAAATAGTGGATTTACCACTTGAAAATGGTGATTTTAACCATAGTTATGTTAGTTTACCAGAGGGTAAGAACATCAAAACACATCAAAAAAACACATCAAATCTAAGCGCAGGTTCTCTCAGGTAGAAAATTGGAAAACCATTCAACATACCTTTTTTTTGAATGCGGATGTGTGAGCACATCAAAGGCTTTTGAGGATTCGCTGTTTTTTTTTCAAAATCCTTTTGGATCCCTCGAAAGCCTAAAAAAGACTTCAAACAAAATATGTGGTCTCTTCCACCAATGGTATCCCCATGACATCCCAAAGGTTGATCAGGATTCCCATTTCGCTTGTGATAATCCCCAATTTTCCGCACGGGTTTCCATATAATCCCGAAGTAATCATCAACCATCATAGAAATCTGTTCCACTAAACATAAGCCCATAGTTTCATGCTTAGAACTCCATATTTAAAACCTATCATCAAATCCACGAACTACCCTCTGGTAATTTAACATAGCTATTGAAAATGGACCATTTATAGTTGGTTTACCTATTAAAAACGATGATTTTCCAGTTCGCAAACTGTTAATTTACCAGTGCTGCAGCAGCCACTGCTTCAGCAGCCACTCAGATGATTAGAGCGGTCAATCTTTGGCCCAGAAAAAAGTGGGATCGCCGAAGTTGCTTCGTGCAATTTTATGTGGGGTTGTATAAAAACCCGGTATCTTTTTAAATGACCCAAAATCATGTTATCGTTTTTTTGTTACTCTTATCGTTTTCTCAGGTGGTGAGCTCTCTGTAGACAAGAAGTGTGAATTTTCCAGCTTTCTGTGGGTGTGAAAGCATCCTTGGTCGAGAGTCAACAGATGTCCTCTTTTGCTTTCATTTCCTTTCATCGCCTTTAATTGTGCATTCATTTCCTCTCATGCTCCTTCTATTTTGCATTCATGTCCTTTCATTTTGCTTTCATGTCTTTTCATGTTCCGTCGCTATGTATCAAAGATACAGGTCTTCGAAAACTGATATGCTCAAACCGGTCAGGCGGGTATCCGCCCAAACGCTCGCGTTTTTTTCATGTTTCGTTATCGTGTTTGTTATCGTTTAGCTATCGTTTTGGAGGCCTGTGCAGGTTGCCATCTTCAGGCTTCATGAACATGTACATGTATAAGCTCGTTACCCTCTGGTAAATTAACATAGCTATGGAAAATCACCATCTTCAATTGGTAAATCCACTATAAATGGCCGTTTTCAATAGCTATGTTAAATTACCAGAGGGCATCGTTTTTTTTAAACTCTTATCGTTTTCTGGGAGGGCAATGCATTGACAGTGTTAAGGTGCAACATCTTATGCTAAAATGAAATGCCCGGGGTTAGTATACTATCCCATGTGATGTTCCATTTATAGATATGTATAGCAGAAAAAAAACAATATAAAGATTTCATATCCTTTATATATCCTATATATATGTTATTTGGATATTAATCCAGTTTGATAGTAATCCTTATATGATCTTAGTGATGTTACGACCTATCCTTCTGGTGATCCTAGAGGTCCTAGTGATTTGATGCACAGTTCAGAGTCCTGAGAATTATAGCCAAAAAAAATGAGTATCAGTATCACGGTATTTGATACGATATTAATAGGTATACCGTACGGTATACCCATATAATGATACCTAGTCTGTACCCATATTCAGAATTATACCCATATTTCATGAGATTCATATAATGAGTATCAGTTGACAAACGAATGAATCAAAACCTGAAGAGTTATGCAACACATAGACTATGACCTATGAATTCTATGATTCTTAATTTAACAACCCCGGAATAGTAAATCGTAAATAGTACCTCCAGTCACCACATTTCATTGACATGTTTCAACTATGTTAGCAAACCCCTAATCCAAATCAGAGTTTCATTTGGGGTGCCCCCGCGAACAAGGTTTTTACCTATGGCCAACTTAAACAGTCACCAATTTTCGTGAACCCCGCTGAAATCATCAAGAAACCTACTGTGGAAATCCGAATCACCAGTTGAAAACGATGGTTTATCCATGTTTATCCCATTATTTATAAGGTTTCAACCATTCAAGGTGGTGCAGGGTTTTGCAACCATCCACAGTATTAACATCCATTAACTATTTAACAACCTCTATGGCATTCTATGGTGTAATTCTTTATGTTTCTTAGAACCCCCTATCTAAATAATCTATATGGGATCTTGCGGAAGTTTCTTAAAATGGGGGATCCCCGAGTTGCCAGGCTTGAAAAATTCCAGTCCTCGCCATTCATGACGACTGGATGATGACTGGGGTACCTCCAGGAAACCTCCATATTTGGGGTACCGAAAAAATTCTTTGAACTATACCAAAACCCATATTTGGTGGTGAAATCCTCCTATCATTCCCACAAGGTGGTGCCCCCCAGTTATAAGTTGGTTTATAAGCCCATTAACTATAGATATATCACCTATAAACCATAGTTATTGGAGTTATGTTCACCAACTTAGCTATCGAACGGGGGCACCACCTTGCATAAAAACATCAGAAAACTGCGACTCTCATCGACTTTCTGCCCAAAGATCGCAGGTAATCCCAGGTGGGGGATCCGAATGTGCGCAGTTGTCGAAGAGATTCTTGAAGGCAAAGCCGCCTAAGCCGGGTCGCTCGGGGAGTATCCCATCATCACATCCATGGGCATTGTACGAATACCCGGCCTGGTAAACCTACAAAGAACTGTTGAAAATCACCATTTTTAGTGGGTAAATCAACTATTTCGACTGGGCCATGTTCAATAGCTATGTTAGTCACTACCAGAGGGTAATGGGAAAAAATAAAAATAAAATTTTAACGATATCCTATCATTATACCACGGTTCTCCGATGATGTATTATCCTATTATTATATTCATCATTATCCCAACTATTATCCCCCTATTATCCATTTATATCCCAGTGATATCGCATCTAACATTTTTGCGCAACATGGTCGAGGACAACTCGCGTTGCGAGGCGCTATTCACCACATCATCCAGCAGGGTGCCTGCTGGCAACGCCGCACAGTGCAACAAGACTTGGGAATGGGGATGGGTCAACGGCCATGGCGGCCATCATGATACGGCTAGGATGGGCCAGCGAAATCCGAATCACCAGTTGCAAACGGTGGTTTATCTCCATTATTTATAGGTTTTCTATCA